TATGGGAAATACATACAAATGTCTTCTTTTAGAGAACCACTGAATGGAATGTAACCAAACATGATATGAATGTTCCTTATGAGGTTCTGACCAAGTGTTGTTACTTTGAAGCCGATCCATAATCCAAAATGGCCGCCTGCGGGGGACTTAGTTTAACATAGGACCCTATGGGAAATACATACAAATGTCTTCTTTTAAAGAACCACTGAATGGAATGAAACCAAACATGGCCTGAATGTTCCTTATGAGGTGCTGACCAAGTGTTGTTACTTTGAAGCCGATCCATCATCCAAGATGGCTGCCAGCGGGGGACTTAGTTTAACATAGGACCCTATGGGAAATACATACAAATGTCTTCTTTTAGAGAACCACTGAATGGAATGAAACCAAACATGATATGAATGTTCCTTATGAGGTTCTGACCAAGTGTTGTTACTTTGAAGCCGATCCATCATCCAAGATGACCGCCAGCGGGGGACTTAGTTTAACATAGGACCCTATGGGAAATACATACAAATGTCTTCTTTTAAAGAACCACTGAATGGAATGAAACCAAACATGGCCTGAATGTTCCTTATGAGGTGCTGACCAAGTGTTGTTACTTTGAAGCTGATCCATCATCCAAGATGGCCACCAGCGGGGGACTTAGTTTAATATAGGAGCCTATGGGAAATACATACAAATGTCTTCTTTTAAAGAACCACTGAATGGAATGAAACCAAATATTGCATGAATGTGCCTTTTGATTTTCTGACCAAGTGTTGTTACTTTGAAGCCAATCCATCATCCAAGATGGCCGCCAGCGGGGGACTTAGTTTAACATAGGACCCTATGGGAAATGCATACAAATGTCTTCTTTTAGAGAAGCACTGAATGGAATGAAACCAAACATGGCATGAATGTTCCTTATGAGGTGCTGACCAAGTGTTGTTACTTTGAAGCCGATCCATCATCCAAGATGGCCACCAGCTGGGGACAGTGTTTAACAAAGGACCCTATGGACAATACATACAAATGTCTTCTTTTTAGAGAACCACTGAATGGATTGAAACCAAACATCGCATAAATGTTCCTTATGAGGTGCTGACTAAGTGTTGTTACTTTGAAGCTGATCCTTCATCCACGATGGCGCCAGCGGGGGGACTTAGTTTAACATAAGATCCTATTGGAAATACATACAAATGCTTCTTCTAGAGGTGCACTGAATGGAATGAAACCAAACATGGCATAAATGTTTCTTATGAGGTGCTGATGAAGTGTTGCGACTTTGTTGCTGATTTACTGTACAAGATGGCCACCAGGATTTTTTATTAAATTACAGGGCCAATATTAAACCAAATTTGGCCTCACTCATTATTAGGGTATCTGTTATGATTTTAATCTATTTTAACATTATTTCCAAAACCAAAGTAGAATCAGGTGAGCGACACAGGCTCTAGAGAGCCTCTAGTTATTGAATGTTTTATATATCTCTTTTGTTGTTCTGCTGATTAAGATTGAAAGGGTATATTTGTGTATGTAGGATTGATATCTTAAAAAACTAGATGAACCACTGAAGATGTTTCTGACTTAGGAAAAGGAAAGAGGATAGGGTTGTCTTTTGTCATATTTTAATGTTTGTGTTGTCATTTGGAAAATTTGGTGTACATGGCTTATCTTTGATAGGCTCGGCTTAATTTTATTTACAACTATTATAGACTTGCAGCAGTTGAGAGCTTATAATACAATGTATTGTAAAGACACCTGTATATATATGAAGAAAGTATGTTAACCTGTAAAAGTCTTTTGGTTGTATTTTGTAGTGAGGTTGCTGTCTCTTTGACATATACCCAACATTTCTTTTATTCTTAGAGATTTTTATAAAACCTGAGATTAGGTTTTAAAATTATTTACAAAGTCAAAGTATCAAACTTTTTCCTTTAAAATACAAGCTGATTTAAAAACACTACATAATGCACAAGAAATTGGGACAAATTTATAATCAGTGATAAATATTACCCTAATATTGTAGAAGTTTCTTTAAGGTAAACAGGATAAAGTAAACAGGGAAGTACCAATGCTTTTTAAGGATGTTTGTTCCTCTGTTTAAAAATAACAAGCTGTTTAAAGGACTGTAATAAATTGATAGTATTTAAAAAACAGAACTTAAAAAGAAGAAAAAATGACATGTCTGTGTCTTAGTTTTTGTAGAGCCTGCGACTTTTGTCACAGAAAGCTCGACATAGGGTGGCAGATGTCATCTGACCTTGACCTCATTTTCATGGTTCAGTGGTTATAGTTAAGTTTTTGTGTTTTGGTCTGTTTTTCTTGTACTGTATGCAATAGGTCTACTGTGTTTGGTGTATGGAATGAGTGTAAGGTGTACATGTCAAACTGGCAGGTGTCATCTGACCTTGACCTCATTTTCATGGTTCATTGGTTGAAGTTAAGTTTTTGTGTTTTGGTCTGTTTTTCTTATACTGTATAAAATAAATCAACTATATTTGGTGTATGAAAATATTTTACAATGTACATGTCAGTCTGGCATGTTTTATTTGACCTTGACCTCATTTTACTGTTCATTGCTCAACGTTAAGTTTTTGTTTTTTGGTCTATTTTTCTAATACTTTCAGCAATAGGTCAACTATATTTGGATTATGGAATGATTGTAAGGTGTACATGTCCAACTGGCAGGTGTCATCTGACCTTAACCTCATTTTCATGGTTCAGTGGTCAAAGTTAAGTCTTTTAGCTTGGTCCTTTTTTCTTATACTATATGCAATAGGTGAACTATATTTGGTGTATGGAAATATTTTAGGATGTACATGTCTGTCTCGCAGGTTTTATCTGACCTTGACCTGATTTTCACGGTTTATTGCTGAGTGTTAAAATTTGGTGTTTTGGTCTATTTTTGTTCAACTATAAGCAAAAGGTCAACTATATTTGGTGTATGGAATGTTTATAAGGTGTTTATGTCTGTCCGCCAGGTATCATATGACCTTAACCCCTTTTACATGGCTCATTGGTCAATGTTAAGTTTTAATGCTGAACTTTGTTTCTTAGAAAATGTAAGCAATAGGTCAACTATATTTGGTGTATGGAATGATTGTAAGGGGTATCTGTCTGTCTGGCAGGGTTCATATGACCTTGGCCTTATTTTCATGGTTCATAGGTCAATGTTAGTTTTTTTCATTCTTCACTGCCATCTTTATCACAATAATCAATATCAATGGTATATCAGTAAGTTATTTCACTCTTAACCACAGTTATCCAGCATATCTTCATATACAATGATATAGCGGATAATAACCTATACAATTAGTAGTATGAAGACACTAGGATAGTTGTCTTCAGCGGGCCTGGCAGCAGCTTTATTGTTCATACAGGCATCAGCAGCAGCGACATTATCTCATTATTTACAGCTTAAAATTTATAATATATGTCTGATAGCGTTTACTTTCAACATAACTTCAATTAGAAATACACGACAGGCGAGACATTTCTGTGTGTCCACTCTTGTTGAGATATATAAATAACCAATTTAAAATTTTGCAGGAAATAATTCTCTCTAGATTTTTCATACATTTAACATTGGCACTTTTTTTTTCGTTCAGAAACTATGAAAAAATAACAAGGATTTTATTAGCTTTTCACAAATGTATTTTAAACTATAATGTAATAAAATTATGAAAAGAAAAGTAGAGGTTAGTGGGCAAAATTTTGATTGGCACTTCATGGATAAAACTAGAGGATTCCGAAATTCTGACAATAAGTCAAAGACAAGAGTAGTGAACATCCTTAAACTCTTTTTTTTTTAACACCAATAAATTATCAGTACAAGAAATTACATCAGTCATATTCTCCTTTTCAATAAGTCATCACACATTAGTTGTTCTTATTATTGGGGTTAGGTTTTTTAGGTCTTCTTTCTTATTTTTTTGGTGGGGGAAGTTCTATTTAGTTCATTCTATTTAATTTTCTCTTCTGTTTTGTTACATTGAGCAAATTATCCACTGCATGAACTTCAGGTCAAAGAAAAAAAGAACTAGAACACACCCAGATCCGTGACTGAATTAAAGTGCCTACGCCTCATTTTTAGCCTGGATTTTTTTAGTATTCGTATTGTCATCTGATAAAGTCATGCTGATTATAATGTGCACAGTTTTCTCTGCTTTGAACCCATCTTGGTTTTCTTACTACAACCAGAAACTACATGTGACATATACTATTGGTATCGGTATCGGATTTGACCCAGAACTTGTTAATTATTGGTTATATTAATTATGTGGAAAACAAAAGTCCCAGGAATGGTGTAATTTTTAATCAACACCATTATCCTATATTAATTACTTATAGTATTATATATACAGTTGAATTCTTTCATTTGTTGTTTTTACGTCATGCCGGCTAACAAATTGCACCTCGTTATTTTAGTAGTATAGATAAAAGGCTTGTGATTAATACTACTATAAAAGATAACTATTGCAATATTTCGATGATTAAAGATGATTCTTATGTATAATCCCATTTTACAACAAAATCATTTTATAAATTCTTTTGCAGCATCAAATTTAATCTATTTTTTGTTGACTAGCATCATAATATTTATACAATATACATGTAGAATAGATGTTGGAATCCTTTCATATTTGAGTATACTCCATGTTCGTAAACACTTTTATGAATATATATGTTATATTGAGGAGTAATCAATAAAACTGGTGTGGTATGTCTACATATTCTATCATATATTGTCCTAACAAAACACCTAATTATCATAAAAGTTACAAACATTATTCTACCAGCCTGCCATAATCTTTCATGTCTCAATATTTTTCTGCTGTATTCTCAGAGGCAGTTCCCTATTGAAGTTGATATCTCTAGTCAAGATCACAGTTATTATCTGTCCATATTAAAACGTTCAGTTTATCCATGATTGCACAATGTTCATTATTGGTATACAAATATAACAACCATAACTACTTAAAACAAAATTGAAAAATTACATTTTTATATTACAGGTATAGTACATGAAAATCCCAGAATATTATCAGATGGAGAAAGTGAAGAAATCTCAATCACATCCAATCCTGGCAGCAGGGAGGACGTTGTCTCAGCAGTAAGAATGAGGAACCGCCAAAGAAGATATAGCCAGGTAGGTGATATGGTTACACCATGTCCTTTATAAGATTCCTGAATACACATAACCTCCCAATTAGTGTAGTAAATATCTTCACTTCACAATGTCCTATGACACATTTTTCCTCAAATGACCCCAGGTCAACTGGGGCAGTAATCATAAATAAAACAGAAATTGGAAACTAGTCAATTGAGGAGACATCGCATACTCCTAAATGTGTAGAGTAATGGGTTTGATGGATAATAAGTTCAGTGTCCAGGCATTTTTAAGAGAACAAAAGCAAGTGTATAAGTGGACATAGGTCAAGGACTGCTTTGACTCTGTACAAATAAAGGAAAAACTAACTGATCAAACTTACATAAAATTGAGAATGGAAATGGGGAATGTGTCAAAGAGACAACAACCCGACCACAGAACAGACAACAGCAGAAGGCCACCAACAGGTCTTCAATGCAGCGAGAAATTCCCGCACCCGGAGGTGTCCTTCAGCTGGCCCCTAAACAAATATATATACTAGTTCAGTGATAATGAACGCCATACTAAACTCCAAATTGTACACAAGAAACTAAAATTAAAAATAATACAAGACTAACAAAGGCTAGAGGCAACATATTTACAAGACATAGTTATACTTTAATTGCAACCCAACCAAACCAAACTACTTTATAATGGAAGTTTTGGATTGGAATTGGTTATTGATGCCCAGTATAACTAAGTGTAATTCTTTTAATTTATTTGAAATGAAAGTTTTGATGTGGTTTGTGTTGAAAACACATGGCTAGCTATTCAGTAGACCCTTTACATTGTTTATGGAGAAAAACTAATTGTTAATGATGATAGTGTAATTAGTTCTGTCAGAGTTAGGGTCATTTCCTTGGTTAGATCTCTATCAGTAAGAAAACCTCTTAATGATGATACAAGTATGATATGTTAGGCATATTGTAACATGCAGACCAATCTTGATTGAATAGGCTTATGACAGGCTAATAGAATGGAAATCCCTCTCGCTCTATGATGAGCTGATACAAACTTCAGTAATACTACCATATTTCACACACTACCATGATACTAGAAAGGAGTAAACCATTAGTTACAATATTTATAACCTACCCATATTTTACAGTATGCCTTTGAATCAATAGTTAACAAGAGAAGAATGCATGAGATTAATGAGGAGTTAACCTTACTTTACCCTCCTACACATTAATTAGCAATTCTTTGCATTTTTGTCAATACACAAAATGCCTCATTTTCTTTTTTGTTATCAGCTGATTACTGGTAATGATAAATTGTTTGTAGTACAATGATATAGATGGTCAGATTGATGGTCAATGAATTAGAACTGCTTTGATTATTCACTGTGTAATTATGACACGAGTCAATTCTTTCCTCTCTGTAATAGTTTTAGAATCCATCAATGTCCATTAAGACCTTGAAATAATGTAGATTTCCTCTGAAGAAAGAAAAAAAATTTTAAAGGATGATAAGAAGTTGTCTTAGAAATAGTTATTGACTTCAAATATGATGGTTCTTTTTCTATATGTATATGTGATATATTTAAACAGAAGGCATGATAAGGCCATGTTTTGGGCACCTTGAACTCAAAAGTCATAAAGTACAATTGATCTAATATCAAGAATCATATTTAACAGTATAAAGATAAGGAGATGTTGATTGATTGCCAAGAAACAACTATCTATAAAGACCAAATGACATGGATTGTAAACAAATACAAGTCACTGTTTAACCTTCAACAATGAGCAAAACCAATTCTCTACAGTAAGCTATAAAAGGCCTTGGCAGGACAAAATGTGAAACAATTCAAAAGAGAAAATCCAGACTAACATTAATTTTTATATTTTTGAAAAGTTATTTTCTTATTGAAAAAAATGCAAAAACTCCTGAAATGGGCTCGCTTTGTGATCATTTTGTTCACATCCTCAATAGTTCTGCCTGATACAGAACTACAGTATATAAATTTGAAGAGCCCTTTTGCCTTATTATGTCTATTCCCTGGATGATGACTCAATACTCCCTTTGAATTAAAAGTGCTTTATTTCTCATAAAAATCAAGACAGTGATATAAAGATCTGATCTAAGCCCATATTGCAGATTGAACAATGAATTTTCTATAGGGTTTAGACATTTTTATTACCCCTTTTAAGAAGGCTGTATTTCCAAGCCACATGTTTTCAATAACAAGAAGTGTGATTGCCCTGTTGTTTTGAATTTTGTACTTAAGCTTTTTTTAAAAAAAAAACAAATAGAAGGAAAGTGCAATATATGATTTATTTGAGATTCCATGAAAAGCAATGTTATTTCTACCCATATTTGGAAACTGTTGATTGGATGTTTCCTTTTGCTTCCTTGTTCAGTTGGAATTCCTGTTTCCAGCTGACTTCACTAATTCCGGTAGAAATATTTCAAAAGTAATTTCCTCAATGAACTCTTCTTCTATCTAATAAATTAGGTTAATGGGAATTGTTTTCTGAAGGAAGATTGCACAGTGCTTTCCTAGAACAAAAGTTAAGTTCCTATTCAGAGTAAACAATTTTACTGTCTTTTCCTTCAACTTGTGAAATAGTTAATGATTCTGTCTGATTCATGAAGATAATATACACAATAAAACAAAATTTCAATTTCTCCAAATTTACCTGCCATTGCAAAAGTCTATATATTTTTTATGGGGGTGGGGAGGAAGGGGGTAGGGGCTTTTGAAGGATCAGTTGTTTCTTATTGTATAAATTTCATAATACAGCTTTTGACTAAAAACCTCACTTTTTCACTGGATAAGAACACCCCATATGGAGGATAACAAAAGATATAGTGTATCAATTGAAATTTTCGTTTACCTATGGTCATGACGATGGGAAATATAAATTATATGAAATTCAATATGAAAAGACCAGAGGGAAATAACTCCATAATATGCAGTACAGTCAATTGTTGACATCAAGTCAATTTTCTTTCATGATCATGCAGGTTAGGAAAGAATTATTCTCCATTTGATGATGTTCACCAATGAGTAAAATATCACAATTAAAAATAAGTAGCCATTTTTCAAGTGAATCATATTTTTCATCAATTGTATGATTGGTTAAAGACCAAAGGCTACTTCATTACTTTGTACATTTTGTACTTAAGAATGCAGGAGAGGTGCCAGCATTAAAAATAATTTCATCTATATGAAAAGTTTGGATGTTTTTATGCCAAAGAACTAGTTAATCATTGATTATTTTTAGATGTAAGATTGCAGTAATCTGTTCTATATTTATGTCATATATCTTTACAAATCCTCAATACAAACATTTTATAATACAAATCAGCCGAATCCCTTTTCTTGCATAAATAATTAGATCAAGATATAAATCTGACTATCTTTTTATCTAAAGTTATTAAATGAAGAACAGTTTTCAGAGATGTGTTACATCACAGTTGTCATAGAAACCCCGATGGGGATTGATTGGACTTTGTTTCAAAGTTGTAAAATTAGTCAAAATGTGAGAAGTTAAGCGATAGTTAATGTAAGGGAATTGTCCATTATGGATTCTATCCGTCTAACTTGATTAATAATAAGAGGTGTCAGAAGGTGATTAATTTCTAGTGAAAAATAGAAACTGTTAGTTTTTTTAAACTAATTTCAATCATGTGGGCTACAAATGTCTCTGTGTGTTGAGTTCAACCTGTCTTGCTGGGCACCGTACCTTAGCTAGTTTTGTCATTAAGTGTGTCATGATAATTTTACAGGCTCCTGCTTTTTGTGTACACTGTTGTACAAATATAAATTTCAGAAGTTCTGTTTGATCGATATAAAAAATTACTTTGAATTCATGAATTAAACTGTTCATAAAAAAGATATTTCCTTGAATTTCTTTATGTTTATTTTCGACCCATTTTAAAGACTGTAAGATGACCTTAACAAATTATCATGATTTATTGCTGTCAACATATCTCCAACTCCTTATTTTTTCAATTGATAAAGACCTCAAAAGCCTGCATGAAGAAATATGAAACCAATTCTGTCATAATAACTCATTTTTTCTATGAAATGATTGAATATTATTCCAATTTCCTGGCTATTGACACACATAGAGGTTAGATTGAAATAATCAATTCATAGTGGTCTTTGACAAATAACTGTCAATAAGTTAATGGTGCCAGTGCTTGTCCTTCGTGGTAGATTGTAACTGTCACTAATTTAGGTCCTTTCTTGTTGATTGTAATAAGCTGTTTTTTTGTTGACTATCATTTATTTTTGTTACCACCTCCAAATCATGTTGGTAATTAAATTTTTTTTATTTAAGAGTAGTTTATGCAAGACCAGTAAATGGTTTTAGATGCTATATTAATATGTTTTGAATTTTTTTGCACTCATATCTGTGGACACTGCGATGAAATTTGCAGTATGCGAGACATAGTTATTACAATCCAGCGGCGACGGCATAAACTATTTGTTTATAAAGCTTTATATTTCAGAAGGTTGAAGACCAGGATGTTTCATACCTTGTGTGCAGATACCTCATGTAACGAAGATTTTGTCTGTCATATGTCTATTGTCCTTGACCTCATTTTCAGGGTTCAGTGACTGATTGAAAAAAAAAGTTCAGATTTTTTGTAATGTTTTAAATTTCTCTTTTATTATGAGTAAGGTATAGTTCACCTGACCTCGACCTCATTCCATGGATCAGTGATCAAGGTTAAAGTTATGTGGTCAAGTCCGTATCTCAGATACTTTAAGCAATAGGTCAACTATATTTGGTGTATGGAATGATTGTAAGGTGTACATGTCAGACTTGCAAAATCAATCTGATATTGATCTCAATTTCACGTTTCATTTGACAATGTTTAGTTTTTGTCGAGCCTGTGACTTTAGTCGCAGAAAGCTCGACATAAGGATAGTGATCCGGCATTGGCAATAGCGCCATTAACTAACTTCTTAAAAGCTTAATATTTCAGAAGGTGGAAGACCTGGATGCTTCATACTTTGTATATAGATGCCTTATGATATGAAGTTT